TTCTTCATGTGATCCATATGAAGTTGACAGATAATATGTTTGAAATGGAATTTTGTGATGTTCTTTGGGTGATTTTCTTTGGAGCTTAGCTTGCAGCTATGTTTAATTGAATATAAGGTGAATGTACTTTGAATGAATCCTTTGGTTTGCGAAAACTTCTTTGATTGCCATTTTCTGATTTTGTTAACTGATTGCTGTTAGGGATTGTTTAGGCGGAACAGAGTTATTAAATTTTACAAAGAACAAGGAGAACTTTTAGAGGAACAGAATTTGAGAAGAACTTTTAGAGGAAGAAATAAAAGAAGCTAAGGTCTTAAAACATATATAAAAAAATATATGAAAATCTGAAAAATTAGAGAATTCAAAGAGGGAATTGTGATGTTTGGAGTTTACATTTCACTTGTCTTCCGATTTCATTCCATAATTCTTTGTGTCCACATTGCATTATCTTCCAAGGAAATGGTCTGAGCAATTTTGCTTTGAGTTTTAAGTGGACGGTGAGAAAAATGGTTTTTGCATAAGGGAACTTCAACCCACTGATTTTTCTAATTCTCCCTGAATGTTATCTAATTTGCTCATTTTGTTTCTTGTCTTGCCCAGTTTGTTTACTAATTGAGAGGCTAGGGGTGATTCCAATGTCCTTTCTTTGTGTACCTTCTGTTTCTACAGTATTTGATTTAAGTTGGACTTTGGTGTTAGATCTCCATTGGCTTTGACTGAATTTAAGAGTTGGATATTTATATTTTGCTGCCACATCAATCAATTAAATTCTGCTTCTCAGAATGGTGGTGTGTAATTTGTTATTTGAGTAATCATGGTATTTCATATACTTGATTGGGTTAACAATCTCACAATGACTCTAATTGGATCTTTTATTGAGATTTTCAATAGGTAGGAAGTTGTTTTGTTTTGATCAGTTACAGGGATTCGTCTATCTTCATACCATAACCCTGACCCTTCAGTGATCCAGACTTTGAACTCACTAATTCACTATGTTGGTATGTGTAGGTGACAAATTTCATACTCAATAACTTCTTCTGGTGTTGTGAATGTTCAATTGAACTTTCATGTCAGTAAGCAATCTAAGTAGCAAGTAAAATTTCCCTAATGAAATCTCAACTAGCTTCCCATACGCACATAATTATTTTATAATTTTTAAATATGTGTTCTCCTCTTGAATTTATTTTTAGCCAAATAATATTCTATGTATTATTTAATTGTTTAGTGCTTTCGAAACATATAATTCTTCCCAATTTAACATTCTGATTAATTAAGTTGTTTTTATATAACTGTGTAATCTCAACCCTTCTCCAGAATTGCAGCAAGAGGATGGGGAATGTAGATTTATCTCGCCGGAGCAGTTTAAATACCCACTCGCGTCCAAAAGAGTTAAATCTTAAGTAGAGCAAATTTCTCATACTTGAATTTGGGTAAGGTACAAGGGAATTTGATAGGATAAGTGAAATTTTTTATGTATTACTATAATATAAGAACATATATAACACACCTTGCAATTCTATTTTCAAATACTCAATAGGCAAATAGGGGTGGAAAATGCTAGTAAGAGTATAAATCTAACCTATTTATTAGAGTCTGTATAGTGTTATGTTTTGATTGTTTTAAGTCAAAATTAAATTAAAATTGACAATTTATTTATTATGAAAATTTAAAATTAATAGCAAAAATTGAAAAAAAAAATTGATTTATCAACTTTTTTTTTTGTTAATTCAGCCTTTTAATTTTTTACCAAGCTTAAAAAAAAAGGCCAACAAACCAAAAAAAACAACAACATTAAGCCCACGAGGGATCAAACCACTTAGGCTAAAGCAGTTGGGCTTAGATAGGATCTGCGGGTCTGGTGTCATTTAGCCAACCACGTTTGACAGGTGCCCAACACTGCAATAAACGTACTGCTTTATATATGGTGGTGTTTGATAATGGATGGATAATTTAAAATGCTGGGTGAAGTTCTTAGAAAACATCCTAATGATTAAAAATTTGAGCTTTGAATTCTAAGATGAGTGGAGATGGATTTGAAAAACGGAGGGTTACTCTTGTTATATAGTTTATCAACTAATGTACCCAAAAAAAAAAAGTGTGAAAATGTTGATTTTCAAAAAAGAAAATGATTAGTATACTCTCGATTCAACACATTTTTTAACACACTTTCGGTTTAATCATTAAAAATATAATATAAATACAATTAATTCAATCAGTTATTATATCTTGTGTGTATAATTATATTATTAAACTTGTTTATCTTTAATTTTAGACTAAAAAGTAATAATTTTTTAATAAATGTGTCACACAATATATTGAACCAGAGTCTGTACCAATCATTGTTCTTTCAGAAATTAGGTGATCATCCATGAGATTCAGCCTAATCATTATATTATTATATTAAAAACAAAGCAATAGGCAAATGATCATAATCCTTGTTACACCTCCAGCTCCAGGAGGCGGCAAACAAGAAGCCAAAGTCCATCTCTTCTTTTTCCAAGTTCGCCAGCTAGCTCCTCTTTTTGCATGCCTTATTACAGACTAAGCAAACCTAGTCAACAACCATAAACTTATTTGCACATTTCTTACAGTAGACATGCGCACAAGAGTTGAAGGGAAACCAGTTACAACGTGTTGGTCAGGGTGACAGATGCGTAGAAGGCTTGTTAAGCAGAAGAGGAATTGATACCGTCATCTTTAAAAGTTTGATAGCAGTTTGGTCTTCCATTTTCACCATCAATTTTTACTGCCTTGCATGTGTCAATGAGGTTTTGGTAAATGGCTGAGGGAGCTCACTTTATTTTGTTGCCTAATTTTGCTTGGGGTTTATCTAATTCATGACTTTAGAAAATAATTAATGTACTTTTTAACTATTTAATTTTATAAAAAAATTTAACTTTAATTTTAATAATTAATTAAATTAAAACACGTAGTATTAATGTTAAAACTAATATCAATTTCTTCATTTTTAATATGAGTTAATAGTTAAAAACACTTTCTAAAAATCTCCATTATGGAGAATTCTTCAGAAGAATACCCCTACCTCCACCCAATATTGTCTCCCCATACAAGCAACAAATTTCCACCACATAACGAAAAAAAAAAGGGAAGAAGAAAGAAAACCTTATCCTTCCTTTTCTTGATTCTTCCTTTCCTTACCCCTTGTGTAGCTTGGATGACACAACTAAACCATTAAATGGGGTAAGTCGTAAGTTTTTAAATATTAAGAGCTATTTTTTTGTTTAATAATTTTTATTTTATAGTTTAAATTATAAAAAAAAAAAAAACCAAAAAAGAACTCCAACATTTAAAAAAACTAATCTACAATCAGCTTGCAATTTAGAAATGCTAATCCAAAATTAATGGTGGGAACGTGGAGGTGTCGGAAGGTCCTCATTATCTGAAGTCGTGAAAACTTTTAGTTCTTCATTGTTGTTCATGTAAACCTAATTATAAAACATAAACTTTCTCTTACTCAACATTATTAGAATCTTGTTTCTGTCTCCCTCCAACAACCTAATCAATTGCCACTTGCTTGGACATGTCATCCCTACCCCATTCATGTGATGGTCAGCTAAAAAAAATGAATACTAAGTTTGAATAATAGACAGTAAGATTGAAAGAGATGGTGAAATCAAATGGTTAAACAGATTTTGATTACAATCCCAAGATTCTTTGATTAAGATAACTCATAAATCCCTTAGGATTCTGTTCTTCCATTTATCGAAGACAACTAGACCTTCCCCTGTTGATTTGCCACAAAAAATTAAACTAAGAAACCTTAATCCCAATGTGATGAGGTTATCTGAGTTAAAACCATTCAGTTGTTATCTTATGTGAAAGAAATGAATATATTGAAAACAGGGAAATGGATCTTTCCGTGAGAATAGACTGAAATGAAAACAAGGGAACAATAAAAATTTGTGGTGGCGCATGGAAACTGTAGAAGAAACATTGAATGCCACCACGCTGTGTAGTTTTCAACGGTTTGGTGATCTCATCTCTTGGAGTTGGACTTATTTGTGAATGAATCTAAACCAAATATCATTGTATCTGTGTCAATTCTATCCACATGTGCCTTAAAGTAGGTCCCGTAAGTTCTTGGATTTGTATGGCTGTCTTGAGGGGAACAATTCCTGTTTTTCATTACAATATCTGCTTGCAAAATAATTGGTAGATTCAACCTTATTATTATTCATCATTTTCCCCAGCTATATTTTCAAGGAGATATGTTTGCTTGCTTGGTTGCTCACTGAGAAAAACTAATGGATTTCATAATTAAATTTCTTATTTTACAATTTGAACTGCATTGACCTATATAAGAGGAATAATTAGATGGATATATAATTTCTAATATTAAGTCGACTTCCATCTAATTATAAGTATTGTGTAGTTTGAATTGCATAATATATATAGATATATTTTTTCATAACTTATGGTAGCTCCCTCTTCCTTTTAAAAAATGGTAGTTTACCTGATTCCTAGAACTTGTGATCCTAGATTTTTTTTTATTAAAAAATGGAACTCATTGGTATCATTTGAGGTTAGACATGAATAGCTACTATTAGCTAGCATTGCAAATTGCTAAGAGGAAAAGAAAAATAAAAAGTCTGCTTTATTGAACATACCAAATACAGAGCAATTAAGACGGCTAATTATAGTTACATCTTATCAGAGGAAGATTATTAGGAAGTCAGTAAAAATGCAGGCCATTCTTGACTCTAACAGGCGGCCATCTTCTTGAATCGCTTTATAGAATCTCAGGCTGTTATTTTCTGCTTTTGTGGGCTGTTAATGGCGAAAAAGTAGATGATGCATTGGGCCAATTCATATTGCCTTGTTGGGAAAACGAGCAGCATCCTCGATCCTGTGTAAATTTTATGAAATCCAGACATAAAGCTAATCGGAAATATCAATAAAGAAAGGCAGGGGAAATGAAGAAAGAAAACAGAGCAGGCATACTTGAGAAGCAGGGGGCGCTGTTCTTGACTGGGAAGCGTTTGCTCTGCGGTGGCAGAACCCTGAGGAGGATTCTTGACTAGTTGAAGAACTTGCCACCATGGGAAACGGCTTAGATGACCACGGAACAACCTGATTTTCTTCGTCTCCATCTTCTTCCTCATCAAGATCATCACTGTCATCATCTTCAGTCTCATCATCATCATCTTCATCAAGATCATCACTTCTTTCTTCCTTCTTCCTCTCCACTATGCAGGAACCATTGTTCACACAATCATGACAAACGGAAATGGCAGGGCCGAGCTTGGGACCGGAGCCAATCCAGGGCGTCGGAGATTGACAGAGGTGGCAGAGGAGTGTTCTTGAATGCTTTGCAACCAGAAAATTAGCACCGTGTACTTTGGAGTCACAGTCCCAACACAAGATGGCTTGATCTGATTCACAGTACATCTTCGCCTGAGAATTGCAGAGCTCACAAATTTTCATCTTTTTCCTTTCTTTTGAAAGTTCTCTCTGTGGATCGTATCATATGCCCCCTGTTTACTCTGTTTTTATTTCCACTAGTCCACCCTGTGCCCCTAAATATTTAACACATGGGGTTAGCAGCAACTTGCTAAAGTTTATATAAAAACAAAAAATACCCAACAGCTTTTATTTGAATTTTTTTTTTTAACAAGTTACAACTTTTTTGGGAAAGAGGTTGGAATCCAACCTAGAACTTGGGGTGCACCATTCAACATGACTTGTAGTTATTTGGTTTAGAAGGCCATGTGCAATAGCTTTGATTTGAATTACATGAGATTTAACAGTAAAAGTAAATAAAACAAGACTACAATGACACCATTAATTTGATTGATTACATAATATGAGATAGTTTCTAATCTCACAAATTTCTCTCTACTTAGATTTAACTTTTTTTTTTTTTTTAAACATTTTGTCACGGGGCGGGTTCGAAACCTGCTCAGGGGAGAGGGGAATGCACCTAGCAAGCTGGCTAATGCCAGTGGGCCTCTAGGCCCAGGTGCACTTAGATTTAACTATTTAAACATGAAATTTTGATGCTTTTCGAATAAAAACTCATACTTTTTATGCTCAAACTATTAGATGGAGATTCTATTTTGATAATTTCAAGAAAATTAGGTAAATTCCTGGAATACCGCTTCTGGGGAGTAAAGCAGGCAATAGAAAAATCAGGGGGCCAGGGGGTTCACTGTATATATATATTCTTAGGTGGGATTCTGGTAAACTATTGGCCATAGTTCGGACATGAATGGCCACCAAAATCTTGCCACATCAGATGTTGTCCACATCTGGACGTCCTAAACTAGACCTAACTCAAAACTCCTTTCCGCTTCTGCAATTTGGTTGCTGCATGTGTATACCAAGTTACCACCCTTGCGCTTTCAAAAGATCCAAGCATAAACTGAGAGGGGAAGATTAAATCTTTGGATGTGCCATGGACCATCTTCTATCATTTTCATTTGTCCCCTAACAGGTCCCCAAGAAGTCAAGACGCATGGCCAAAAACTAAAAATAAAATAAAAGAGGCCCCCACGAGATACGTGCCAAAATACTTATGCACCATGAAATTTGTGGACATGTTGGTTGTGTTCCTTAGTTTTCTACTAGGGGTGGGTTTAGAGTTTGATCTAGTGAACAACTTCATTCATAAATACTCTAATTAATCCTATTGTGTTGATGACGTATTTTTGAGAGAAGAAGAGAAATGAAGTTAATCTGTTGTGCGCAAGTGGGTCAGGGATACTAGACTCTTCACCAAAGAAAAAGAACTGCTGAAATAGATTCCTACTTTTGAGGCAGCATATAGGCCGTGCATGGTACTAGAAGAATCTAGCATGGAATTGAACTGGGAACGAGGAATCAAATCTGTGGCTAAGATTGAGACCTAGAGAAGATATATTCATGCATTGAGGTCGAGAGGATCAGCTGATCATATGTACTGGACAAAGGTTGAGCTTAATTTCCTTGTGTGGTTGTGAGAATCCAATGTCCCCATCCTCGGTAAAGGATCTATCTTCCTCTTTTGAGCAAAGAAATTGAGTGGTGTATGCATCTTTTAAAGGTAGAATGTGAATAATTTGGGTTTAATTTCTGCTTACCCAAAAAAGGTACACAGGGCCTATGTTATTGAACTAAGAATAAGCTGCAGCCCATCCTCTATCCAACTGAAAATTATCTTGCAGTCAACTAAGAATAAGCTTCATATATAATAGAGGAATAGTAAAGGTGATTTTAAAGGGTAATTTGATATTTACACATGTTAATATTACAACAACAAACGACAAAAATTGTGTTATTTAACTTATTTTTGCCCTTTTTCCTGTTTATAAAATTCAGTAAGGAAGTTTTTCTTCACACAAATAAAAAGTTTCCTATAACAATTTTCTTATAAACACTATCAACTTTCCCAATTATTTATTTATTATTATGTATTTATTTTAGGCTGTATAATGGTAAATAAACTTTATTTTATCTCTTAACCTACACTACTAGTAGACCATATGACTTGAAAAGAATATTATTATGAAGTTACTTAAATCATTGATAAGTTTCCTAATATTAATATATTCTAACTTATTAAACAAAACCTTTCAATAATTTTACCAACAGACTTTCCTAAAAGAAAGAAGTCTTAATCCAATAAGTCATTAGGAGCCAAAGGCTCTCTTTGGTATAGCAATTTGAAAGTAGCGGTTAGCGGTTTTGATCAAATTGCTAAAAATAAGGGTTTAGTAAATTTATTTATATTAAAACTGCTATAAATTAGGTATTTGGTAAAATTTTTTATTTAGCAATTTGGAGCTAACGGATATGAGTTATGATCCAAATCGCTAATAGATCGAAAAAGGTAGCTTTTTGTATCAAATCGTTAGTGAATTGGAGTTTTTTAATTTTATTAACAAATTTATCCTTTTTCATTTTTTGATTTTTGGCTACATTTTTTAATTAGTACTTGTCTAATTAGTTTCAAATTTATTTTTTATCTTTAATAATATTAAGTAATTATTATATTTTATTTTTACATTAATTTATCATAAAAAATATATTAACTTAATAAACAAAATTTGTTAATTAGATGAAAAGATTAAAATTTTGTATACTTTATTTAAAATTAATATAA